CAACACATCAAGGAAAAAAAAAAAAAAGTAGAAACATAAGCAGAGATGAATACCTGGCACAGCACAGCCTCCTGCGGAGCGAGCTGCTGGCAATGCCAAAGGGAAGCAGGAGGGCTGCCCAGAGGGCTCAGAACCAGAAGCACAGCTCAGGACCTGGCACATCACCTCTGCTGTACCTTGAACAGGCGGGCTGCTCTGAGCGTTCCTGTTAGCTCAGGATAGGCAGCAATGGGGCATGGTGTGAACCAAGCACGGGGCTGGCAAGGCAGCAGCTCTGCACTGAGCCCAGCCTGGTGCTGAGGAGGGGCACACCAGGATTTTGGGCTGCCCATCCAGGAGCAGAGGGGCACACGGTCACCTCTCCACCTTCACAGGGAGGACCCCAAAAAGCACAGCTCTGCTCACCCATGTGCTGCAGCCTGGCAGGACGCCCCCAGCCAGGAGACAAGACCTGATGACACCAGGTGATGGACTGCTCCAGGCAGGCAGCAGGCATTGGCACTGTGCCGGCCTTATCTCACCACACAAGGTGATGTGGCACAGGGAGGAGCCGTGGGGCAGGAGAGCACAGGGCTGCATGCCAAAGCCCCAGCACCGCCATGGAAACAGCATTTCCTTGCACGCAATTCAGCGTCGGTAGGGGCTGACACCCCCAGCCCAGCCCACTGCCCCCAGCACACCGGGAATGCAGTGCCCTACGCTGCAGGAGCGGAGATCAGCTGCAGCAGGGCACCCACAGCCCTGCAGAACTGCTGCTGGGCACGGCTGCACACCATGCCAGGAGCACGAGCAGGACCTGGTGCTGCAGGAAGGACACGACATCACAGCCCATACCCTCCTCTTGGATCCAGCCACATGCAGCTTGCATTTCCCCCCCAAAATACAACAAGCACTTTCCTGAGCAAGGACAGCAGCTCAACCCCTCACATCACCACACCGCTGCATCGCAACGCACGCCTCCAGGTTCAGAGCTCTACACGAGCAAAAGCTCTGTCAGGGAGCTGCATCCCAGGGCAATTTAAGTAATGAATTCACAAATTCAAACTCTGCTGCCTGTCCAGACCCTAATGCTCAGCAGCCTCTTCCTCTGGTGCAAAGCCCCAGTGCAGCAGCAGCACCTCTGGTATCTACAGCAGGACGGGGCACAGGGAGGACCTGGGGTGCCTACAGGGCAGACCAACGAGCCCTGTGCCAGGAGGGGCCAATGGTGCCCAAGCAGAGGACACTGCCCCTGGACCACAATGTGTGAATGAGTGAATGCAGCACCTGGCAGCAGGAAGGCTGTGTCCAAGCGCTCCTTCTCAGCATCAGTCAGCAGCTGCAGACTTTCTGCTGCCCGAATGCTTTTTAGAATGAGGCTGTGACACACGGGTTGGTGCTCAGCCCTGCAGAGCTGACAGCGGCTGCACAGCAATTCCTCCAAAACTCACAGCAGAGACCTCAGCAGCAGCAAGGACCTCCAGAGCAGGGCACGTTCCTGCTGCTCACCTCCAGCAGGGAGGCAGAGGAGGAGCCTTCAAGTTGTACTGAAAGTGAAGCGAAGTATTATTAGCTGTCCTACATCTCATTTGAATAAAATTCAAGACAAGCTGCTAAGTATGTGGCTACACGAGCCACGCAGGTCATGCAAAAGAGGCAAAGGAGCTCTGGCCCTGAGCTGCCAACCACAGGCTGCTGCCACACCAAGTGCTCCTCACAGCCCTCAGAGAGGACAGGGAGGTGGAAAATCCACCCTGACATGGCTGAGCCCTGAGGCTGGGGCCGGCTGCAAAGCTGCACCTTTGCTACAGGAATGAAGCAGAAAAATCAGAAGCAATTCATCTGGAAAAAAGAACTAACAAAGTCCCACATTTTGCAGCTCAGATCAGTGCAGGATACCCACATGGACACAAGCTGGGTGCTCTGACATTGGCATTCCATGCAGTGAGATGGGACAGGGCTCACCACAGGGCTGCTGAAGGTTGGGGAGCTGGAACAGATTCACTCTCAATGTGTGTATGTCTTCTTAATACAGAGAACGTAACCCTGGGTGCCTGCTAAGGATGCCCTGCTGCTCTGAACAGCATCACTTAGGGCAAACACATGGGACATCCCATGGGCTGCAGGCAGCACAAACCCCAGCAGAGCAGGAATCTATGGCACTGCCAGAGAAAGATCCAGAGAAGGCAGTCAGATTTCAGAAGCACGAGATACCACCACCTGCTGCAATTACAGTGCTAAAATAGGAATTGAGTGAATAATGGAGCTGGAGCATCAGACAGGCACAGAGGAGAAAAGCAGCCATGCAGCATGGAGCTCTCATGCTAAGCCCCAGTCCCACCACGAACACTGGGCAGGACAGAGCCAGGACCCCCCAGCTGAGGGGCCAAGCATGGCCCACAGTAACCTACATGCCCACACCTGGCTGCCAGTGCCACATCCCAGCAGTGCTGCCAGGGCACAGCCAGAGCTGACTCTACCCAACCCCAGCACCAAGCCCACAGGGTTCATTTTCAGTATCCAGAAAGCACGGTGCTCCTTTTCCTTCAAAATTGAGTCCGCAAGAGGTGAAGCTGTCTCCTGGTAATGAATGCATCTCCAGCCATTATGGCTTTCACCATGCTGGAAAGGTCAGGGTTGAAGCCCTGCATCTCAGCCTCTCCTCCCTCCAGCCCGTACGCAGGGCTTGGGTTGGTACAGCTTCCTCCGCAGAGGAGTAGGGCAAAAGGGATGAAAGCCATCAGAGCAGCGGTTTGGGTTTCTTCACCCCACGTTCAGCACAAGGCCTTTTGTTCAGGCAACACCCAAGGTGCAAAGTCTTCACCCAGGCGTACGCCTCCAGCAGCACGATTTGGAACTGGGCTCATGGAGTCTGACACGTTTCCTTATTCCCAGAATAAGCCCTGCTTGTATCAAATGAAATTAATTGTTTGGGTTGAACAATGGCAGAAAGTTTCACTTTTGCTTCCAGGCAGAGCTGCAGCCATAGGCACAACCCTGGGTGCAGCACAGCAGCCATGCAGCAGAACATACACTGAGCACCCGATGGAGGCTGCTGGGAGACAAACCACAGCCACACACCTCTGCACACACACTGCACACAACAGATGGGCAAAGCTCTCCCATGATGATGAAGATGAGAGGGGAAATCACAACTACCTTGTTTTGTTAAGCTGTGTGGCAGCTGTGGAAAAGTCCCTGTGCACACACTCAGGGAAGAGCACAGGGTGCTTTGCACCAAGCTCCCATTTGCTAAATGCTGCTGAGCAGAAGCAGGGAGCAGCACAAGACAGGGCACCACAGAGCCACACGCAGCCCTGGCTGGAACCTGGGTGCACAGAGCCCTGCAGCAGTGGCAGCCCTGCTCCCCCTGTCACAGCCATCACTCGGTGAGGACAGAGCTGACATCTCCATCCCACCACCAAGCATCCGGATCTGCACGGCCACCAGAAATCCCAAGGCACACAGGGACTTGCAGGCAGCACAGCAGGACCAGTCGGGTGCCTTCAAATTACCGCCTGGGAGAGGGAGGAGCAGACAGAATGAGGCGGCCAGGCACAGGGCTGCCACCCTCACCCACTGCCCCAGAGTGCAGGGAGGTGACAGCCCTCGTCACCATGGGACACGGCCCCTGCAGGGGACACTGCAAGGGGCACAAAGTGTCAGCAGCGTGGGCACCGCAGCGCCCGTGATGGAGAAGAGCAGAACAAGTTCAGCACACGATGCTCTGAGTGCATTATTCATGTCCCACTTCAGGTCTCTGCGTTTGCAAAACTTTCTGAATAATTGATGGCTGGTGCACGAGGGAGGACGAGGGACGCGCTGCACTGAAAACCAGGTCACCTCCATGCTGGGGCACACAGAAGGGAGACAATGGGAGCGGGGCAGATCCGCACTGAGAAGAGCGGTATTTATCTGCACTCACAGCCACACACACCCAGAGCTGCTCGGACATCACAGGGCATTTTGAAAGAGCAGTCTCACAAGTCAACCTTATTTCAGCCTTCTGGATTGTGGTTTATTGTAGTGAAGCTACAAAACCTACACATCAGCACCGCCTTTACCCTCACGCAGGGCACACACACAGCAACCAGAGAGAGCAGCTCCACAAAACCCACAGGAAAGGTCTGACACCAGCACGCAGAAGCGGGGCCGATGCTGAACCAACAGCTGGAGCACGGCTGCACCCCGCAGCGCCGCGTCCCTCGCACCCAGCGCCCATCTCAAAACAAAGAGGATGTGAAATGTTCAGCAGAAGACACAAGAGGAAGGAAAACACGAGTGTACGTCGCCAAGACTTCAAGCAATTTCGGTTCCGTGCCGCCGCCCTGAGCTGGGGGCCCCGGGTGCACAGCCTGTAACCCACACACGGCAGGGACAGATGGACGGACGCGGTGACGGAGGTGGGAGCAGCACTTGGCAGCCAGGTGGGCAGCGCCGCTGCAGCCGTGTGCCACACAGCCCTACCCAGCACACCCCGTGCACAGTGGGACCCCCTCCCACCTCAGACAACCACGAAACAACACAGCCCACCTGGCCCACCTGCCCCGCACCGCAGCTTGCGGCAGATCCCCAGATCCACACCTGCAGCACATCAGACAGCCTGATTGGGACCTACGCATTTATCCCTTAAACGCGTTTCCAGCCAAGAGTACCCTAATTTGTTAAGGAACGACACGAACGCTGCAGGCACGGCCACCACCGCGCCCCAGCCCCGCAGAACCACACGTGCCCCAGCGGGGGCCTGGTCCCGTCCCACCCGACCCGCCGCCGGGGGACGCCCCGGTGACCCCAGTGACCCCATGCGGAATCCCCCCGGGGCACCCGCAGAGCCCCCTGCATCCTAGCGCGGGCATCGCAGCGTCACTGGGACGCGGCGCGGGAACGCTGCGGGTGCCGGGGCTGCCCCGTGCCGCAGCAGTGAGAGCGGGGCCGGGCCGGGCCAGGTGGGCTACGGGAACCGGGGCGGCGCGGGGGAGGCGGGAAAGGCCCGGCCCGGCCGCCCCCCGCCCCGCACTTACTCTTGAGGGCGACGATGAGCGACTTCCCGTCCTTGATGAGCTCCTTGATGAACTTGTTGGTCTTCTCCAGCTCGGCCTCGTGCGAGCGGAGCCGCTCCCGGAACTGCGGGCTGTCCAGGCAGCACTCGCTGAATTCCAGCGCCGGCAGCCCCATGCCGCCCGCAGCCGCACGGCGAAGAATTAACAAAAAAATTAAAATATATATTTTTTCTTTTTTTTGGACGAGAAGCGCTCTCCCGCCTCTCAGGGAGCCGCCGCCGCCGCGGGGCGCGCCCCAGAGCGGGCCGGGCCGGGCCGAGCCGTGCGGGAGCG